CCACGTACTGGGGCCCGCGCGCCGCCGGAGGGGCCGCGGGCGGTCGGGCACCGGGGCGGGCCCCGCAGAGCCCGGAGGGCGGCGGTGGCGGCGGGCGGGAGGGGGTCAGCGGCCGCCGCGCTAACATGGCGGACAGCCCTGCGTGTGAGAGGCGGCGAGGCGGGAGGGGGAGGCCGGGGACCGGGGCGAGGGCTGCGCCGAGGCTGCCGTTCCCCTTTCTCCCCCGACCCCGCAGGGCGCGGGAGGGCGGCGGGGCCGCCGGCTCCGTGGGGAGCGGGAGCGGGGGCTCGGCGGCCGCCCTAACATGGCGGATTCCTGCGGAGGGGGGCTGTGTGGTGTCTTCCCCCTCAGTGCCCCGCGCTGGGAGACCCGTTCCCGCCGGGCGTTGCTGCCTCTCGCAGGGTGCCTCTTCCTGGGGAAGGGGCGAGGAACGTCCCCCCCTGCACCCCTCGGGGAGAGGGGCTCCCGGCCCCCGGCGTGCCGGCCCCTCGCCCTGTGGCGGCTGCAGGGGCTCGGGAGCGCTGGGTGCCGCGCAGGTCTGTCTCGGCGGATCCCTTCCCCCGGGGAGCCCCCTCAGGCCCCGGGGGAGCAGCTGTGTGACAGACTGGAGGCCAGCCTGGCCGGCGGGGAGGAGGGGTGGCAGGGAAGCCGGAGGAGTGCTGGTGGCACGGCTGCCGCGTCTCTCCTCGCCTGCTTCTCAGAGGCCATGTTGTGTCTCTGTAACCGTGGGCATCCATCCGGGCGCCCGCCCGTCAGGCTCCTCTCTCCCCCTCACCTGAGCAGCGCCTGCCCGAGGCCTCCCCCCTCGGCATGGTGGATGAGGGGGGCACGCCAAGGAGCAGGGCATTGCACAAGTCGTCAGGGCATTGCACAAGTGACGCTTTCCAGGACAAGCGCCGGGATGACGGGGCAGATTGCCGTCACTCAGGAGGGACCAGTGGGTCCTCGGAAAGTGGAGCCCTTCCCCCCTGTTAGCGCTCTCCTCCCTTTGCCAGGGGTGTTTGCTGGTCTCCTCAAGGACACGCGTCTTCCTCCTCCCCGTGGTCAGTCTGTTCGTGTGGCAGTAGCAGGTTTGGTGTCACCAGCCCTTCTGGAAGTCTCTTGGTTGAGCTCAGCCTCCCTGGCTTGGCTGCCTCTGCTGGTACCTGGGGTCCAGTTGGGCGCTACCATCGCGGTGGCTTTCAGAAAGTACGGAGAAGAAGGTGCAGTCACTCAGCTGCTGGCTGGGTGCGTGTGTGTAAAGCTGTGTAAACCCTGGGTGTCAGGGTGTGCTCGCTGCCAAGCTGTTCCATCTTTGGTGGGAGGTCAGCAGAGGTGCCCGTCACTGGTTAGAGCGGTGTAAGGTTGGCAGAGGTGCCCGTCACTGGTTGTTGGGGAGCTGTGAGTGCGGTGTGGGGGTTCCTGCGTGTGTAAAGGGGATGGTGCAAAGGCAGGCGCGTGGGGCAGCTGGCGTGGTGGAGGAGGATGCTGTTATGGCTCATTACTAGGCAGCACTGCAGGTCTTTTCCAGTTGGCAGTCTGGGCTCGTTCAGAGCCCAAGGAGATGCGTATCTGTGCTGGGGGGACCCCCGTTGCGGCGAAGAGGGAAGAAAGCCGGCTTAAATCTTCTTTTGAGCCTTTCTGAAGTGCGTCTCCTGCAGTACAAAATCCTGCACAGCCGACATGTGCGGGTAGGCAGGAGAAGCGCTGCGTGTCAGACCTCTGCAGCAGCCTCCGGTGACCGAGCAGGATTTGGTTGTGCAGTCCCAGTCGATTAGAGCCGCCCTGAAGGAAAACAACAGCGTGGCGGCCAATAAATGGGGTTAGACCTGCCTACCCCCCTAGCCAGGCGTGGGGCTGGGTCTCCTGGGTGGCGGTGGGTTGAGGGAGGGGGGAGGCAGAAGTGCTGCCCCACTTCTTCTGCCTCCACGCCAGCTGCTGGGTTTTCGGCTCTGAGGATACTGCACTTGCCCGCTATTCTTCCCTGGATAAACGTGGGAGGCAGCGGTGCTGGGGGGGAGGTGGGGGGCTGTGAATAATGGTGATGGTAGGAGGGGTTTGTTCCAGTCTGGACTGGTCCAGTCTAGTTCTTTCCTTCCTGTCACCGTGTGAACAATGCTGCTGCCGCCGTGGCTGATGCTTACGACAAGGCAGCCCCCTCCCCATGTGCTTCGGGCTGTGGTGAGCCCCCTCCCTGCCTGCTCTGCCTGCTGAGCCCCCCCGCAGTCAGCCAGCCTGCTGGCCCCCTGTCCCTCCCGCTGGGCATTGAGCTCTGGGGGACGGTTGTTAAACCCCAGAAAAAGAGGGGTCTTTACAAGACTTTGGGAGGGGGAGGGCGGTGTTCGAAGCCGAACGGCAATGGGGATGTTTCTCCCGTGGGGACAGTGTTACTGGAGGCAAGAGGCAGGCTTGCTGCCTTCCAGCCGGCCCCCGGGCAAGTGGCTTGTGCCTCTCGCTGGTCCCTGTGCTGGAAGGCTGGTGCTGGTGCAGGTGTGTGTTCGCAGCAATGCTGGGCTACACGGTCTGGACACGATTCCATCTCCCTAGTTAAAGGAGAGACAGAGTGCTCTGGAAGGGAATTAAGACCATCCCTTCCTGAAAGAAAGGCTTAATTGTGTAATGGATTAATTTGGGTGTAATGGCAAATTTTGGTTTGAAATGCTGTTGATGTAGCACAGGAGCCAGGAGTGCGGTTGATGGGAGAATTCCTCAGGGAGCTGTGCTCCCTTCAGGACCTGCTCTCCCCTGGGGACCTCCTCGCCACAGCACCCTGGCCCTGATCTGGGAAAGTCCTGCTGTACCAGAAGAATAGCAGGGTTTTTTTGTGAACCAGAGTAACTTCAGTGCCTTCGGGTCTGTCAGCTGGTGTAAATATGTGAGGTCCTTGTATTGCTGGATTTTTAGGGTTTCCTACATGGATATTTTAGCTCAGGTCGATGAAGGGTCTCTTTTCAG